CTGGATAGGAAACCCGAGTGTTAACAATTACAACATACAGAATCACAGCATTTTTGGAGGTGAACTAAAGGCTCAGGTGACACGGGAAATAATGTGTTATGAAATGTAACCTTGGAAACCCAAGTTTTTCAACATTCTAATTATGATGCATTTTCCTAATTATAACCAGATTCTCTTCTCTGAGGTCCCCTATTCTTCCTGCTACAGGGTTTGCTGTTCTGCTAGGCTCCACTCTTCCCCGCTCTCTCATCTAACCTCCCAGTGGTCCGTCTTCTTTCAGTCACAGCAGTGGTAATGGAAGAAAAATCCCATTGCTCCCTTGATTGCTAATACCACTCTAGAAACCTGCTACATGCCAAATCCCTTCTCATTATGCATCTACTGTAATTCTGTCCCATCTGATTCATCTTATGCATTGCCATTTGGTCAAAGCCTGTCTGATAAGTTGAGCTGAATACCTACCAATGAATGCTAATGAACTGTCAAACTTAGGTGTTCAGTTATAACATTAAATTAAAATTCTGATGGAGATACAGGTAGGTGATATAGAAAGATGTATAATGTGCTAGGTAGTAGTATTTCTACCAGCTTTAAAGTGACAGTCTAGAACTTCTGAAATATTTTATCCCGGATGAATAACAAAAATTTTAAAAGCCTGAATATGTGCAAAGGGAGTATTAAGCAATAGAGAAGAAGAATAATAGTAGTGCGAAAGATGTAAATTTGTGGCGAAAGCAGAAATATAAGAAACTGAAACAGAAGAAAGTGTAAAACTAAAGGAAAAAACAGCAACAAATAGATGAATTCAGCAAAAGCAAAAATTTCCTGTAATGAGTTTGAAATATGATGTGTTATTTCACTTAAAACTATCCAAATGAAAATATGAAAGAAGAGTACTATAAAGTGTTTGACAGGTGATAAGGATCCATTCTTATAGCTGTAGGCTAGACCGTCTTCAAGATAGCTTCTATGTGTATGCTCTGTGGCATATTTTTGAAAGTTTATGAATAAGGGACTGATTTAAATGTTATAGCAGTTTAAATCCACAAGAAGCATAAAAAGGACATTTTACAGTAAATGAAAAAAGAAATAAAAGCATGCTTATACTGAGGGGCACCCAATGTAAAGGCTCTTCTATACACAATCATAACAGGCATTTCTGTTAATAGCAAAACACACATAAAATGCAAAATTAAAAAAAAAAAAAAAAGACATCAATGCAAAATGTAGACTTGAGAAATGTTCACTGGAATTTTTGTTTCCATTTCAATCACCTGTGCATGGAAAGGTGGAATGATAGCCTGTTGCTCGGGGTGGGGGGTGGGGGTGGGGGAGGGGGGCATTATATTTCTGTGTTGCACAATCTCTTTCATTCCTTTACTTTCACTCTTACTGTCTCAGGCTGTTCTCATACTCTTTTTCTATCCATGCAAAACTACGTTTTGCAAAACTTATTTGGAAACTGGACAAGAGAAGAAATATGGAAAGCTAAAGGGCAAAAGATGCTACCTCCTTTTGCCTCCATTTGACTCATACCCTTATTATCTTTGGTGGCAGTGAGACTTGCAGTCATTGCTTGTCCATGAGATCATGCATCACTGTCAGGAAAAAAATTAAAACTCTTATCATATGAAGCATTTATTTCAAAGGAACCTAGAAATTCAGTGTTAAGTATGGTGAGATAAAGCAAGAGGGTAAGAAAAGGAAGAGCAATAGGGTGAGAAAAGCAAGAGCAGATACAGAATCATTCTTTCATGTCTGAAAAAGTGAAATGATGTCATATTCAGCAGTCTTGGAAAAAACAGATGACAGATTTGTAAATTAAGAAGGGAAGACTGTACAGGTGAAATGTGACTAATTTAGTGACAGTGATTTAGTGATTTAATGTGACAACAATTCATCTACTCAAAATGTTTTATGCTTGAATACAGCTGATTGCTTTTGTAGGGATTTTATGTCTTGATTTTTATGTCTAGGTAGTACAGCCAAATATAAAGGACGTAAGGAAATTACCTTTCTTTCTTCCTTGTCTTCAGCCTTTCCTCTTTTCTGGTTTGGGAAGAGGATATGGGTGTATACGGAGTGCACAGAGCAGCACAGGTTTGGGTTATCCCGTCTGCTAACCAGCTGATACTGTGCAGTGATGCAGAGAGAAACGAGCCCTGCTTCTGTATCCAGGGACAAAGCCTAATTAGCTGTGTTTCTCCCTGTTTCAGTGCTTATTTGTCCAGAGCCACATTTCTTAGAGATCAAGAAAAGATAAGCCATAGAGGCAGAATCATAAGGGACAGCATGTAGTTCTATCGTCCTGAGGAAGGCTCAATAGCTCCTGACAAAGCAAGAAGCTTGAAAAGTTGCAGATATGCAGACATGACAGTGGAACAAGCATTCTCCAGATTTCTGATAACAAGACACATGAGGTTTTTTAATTCCCACTGTTTCCAATATGATATTTTTCTAACACTTTCTTTAAAATTCAGAGAAAAAAAAAAAAAGTATTCTGGGAAGGGAACAAATCTATGAGGTCAAAGCCTTCACAAACTTATTTTTAATAAATAAATTAATCCCTGTAGCAAACATCCCAATACTCTATCTCCTCAGGGTTTCAGCAGTATACATCTATTGGAAGGAAGCAAAGTTTTCTTTAAAATTCATCACCTGGTAATCTTATCTCCTCACTCATGGAGTCGGACTTCTGTTGGTTCATGAAATACCTTAGACATATTTATGGAGGAAAACTGAAATCTATCTGTCCTTTGTTTTAGTCAGCTCAGTTTCTGTGCTTGCTTTCCATGTTAGGCAGGAGGAATGAGTCAGGTGATTTTTGTTTGTTTGTTTTGTTTTTAATCGGAAAGGTTTCTTCTGTGCTCACAAGTATGGTTTCTGAGTTTATTGCCATGATTTTTCTTGTCTGATAATAAAACAAAATTTGGTCACTTAAATCCCTCTGAAATTCTGTTTATTTTTTGTAAATTCAGCTTAAAAATAGGTTGATTATGTTTTTAGGATAGTTTAAAGAAATCAACAGTACTATCAGCCTTAACCATGAACACGTGATTTCTTGTGGTCTTCTAGTTTCTTAAGTGGAATATTAAAAACGTATAAAATAGCTTTATGATCCTCTTAGCAAGAATAATCCCATTATACCAACAAAATGAAAACTGTTTTACTAAAATCATTACCTGCAATCAAGAGATTATGGCTCATTGGTATTACACTTATACCATGTGTCGAAGGTATTCCTGGAAGCAAACAAAATTTTGCGAGTGCAAGCTGAATGAACAAGGAAATCTTGAGTGGGATTCAAATTATTTTAAATCCCAAATCCACAAGACTCTACTTGGATAGAGAGTATGTGAGTAGTTCTTCCTGGTGATGCCTGGGACTACCAATACTTTGTAGCTGAGCTATTCAGGTGTTTGCATTAAATGCATCATTATTTTTGTGATGGCATAATCAGTGAATTAAGATTCTTAATAAATGGAGGAAATGGTAAGCACCACATTCCCTGAGAATGCATTTGGAAAGCTGCATGCGTTATATATTGCTTGAGACTGAGGTAGTGGGACTATAATTAATAAACCACCACAAAGCAGAGAAATTTCCCATCTAAAATTGTTTTCAGTGATGTGACAAGTAAGGGGAATGATGCTCATAGATTTAGTCTGCTGAAAGATGGTTATCTCATAAAAGTCTCTTTGTACACAGCAGAAATCTATTATGTGTACATTTTAGATTAAAAAAACACACAACCTAAAAGCATATTTTTGTCTTCTTTCCTCAAGACTGCAGACTTATCTTCTAAGTTTTGATACTTCCTTGCTCTTATACATGGTTTGTCTTCAAAACTTTTTTTTTTCTTCCCCTTTAGATTTCATTTGGATAACTTGGTTCTAATTATGTTACCTAATAACTTGAGTTTAATTTGTACGTCAAGATGTGGTGTCTTCCAAACTTATTGGAAGATTAGACTTTGTTTTGTTGTTTAGGAGTAGCTGAGCTACTATAAATATATTGGTCTGTGATTGTTGGTTAGTGCACCTTAAACCCTTGTTGAATTCATTAGATTAGCAGTGGGATTAGGCTAAAGAGAACAGGATGCTTAAGAAGCAAAATCGGGGAAAGTATTCAAAGAGGGGATAGGTGTTGTTTCACACAGCTATTTGTATGCTTTTATCTTGTATCTTTGTGGATCTGTTTGTTTGTTTGTTTTTGTGTGTGTGTTTTTCTGCATCTATTATTTCCATTTTTTCCTTCTTCCTTTCCCTCTCCTTCTTCAGACCTGTCTCAAGATTAATTTAAAATTATTTGCTGCAATGCCCTTTAGAGCCCATTCTTATCTTCCTTTTACATTAGATGCATTAAGTTCTTTCCAATGTCAACATTACTCCTTGATTAAATTACAAGCCTGAATTCAATTGGGTGTCATGTAATCTTAGCTAGATATAAAGCAACGTTAGTTTTATAATGGTACCTTATGTTCCACTTTACTTTCCACTAAGCATTTTACTTCTTATACGAAAAAGAATTTTTCTTTAGTGAAAGTTGTCGTGCAAAATTTTTATGTATGTGGTATTGGAAGAAAAGCAACAGAGACATATTGCAGACCTTTTTCCTTTTTTGTATGTTATCTTTAAGATTAACCTAGCGATGAATCTCCCTTATAATCATTCCTGAAGTACATACCAACCAAAGCATTTTCCTTCATCCTCTGTAAATGAATTGTTTTTTATCCTTAAGCTTAGTGCCTGCAATCAAGACTAGAAACTCATCAGATTTTTAATTCATAGTTAGTGTTGAAGCCAGATTGATCTGTCACCATTTTACCCATACCAGCGTAGACTAAGAATTATTGGAGTACTTCTTTTGTGAAAATTAAGTAGGTTGTACTAATCAGAACTCTTCTGAATGGGGAGTTCTTAAATTAATGGTAAGAGAATTTGAAAAAAAAAAAAAATCATTCTTTCTGTAAACTCACTGTAATTGTTACTTCATTTTAGGTAACTTTCAAAGCATCAAGATACTCAGTTTCACCGGACTTGAGATTTGTTCTTCTTGCATATGATATAAAACAGGTAAGCCAACTATTCATTTTTAAATGAGCCTTTAAAGGAAAACTCTGAACTCCTAGTTTATTTTGTATGCAATTCCACATAACATAATTTGATTCAATGACTTCTAGTGAAATGATGGTAAAGTGAAGTATGATGGTAAAGTGTGTATGTATGATGGTAATGTGTGTATGTGTGTGTGTCCCTCAAACTGTTGTGTTACAAGCTGCCTGTTTCATACAGCTGCTTTTGTCATTTATGAGCTATACTTTAAAAAATAAATAAATAAATAAATAAATAATAATCTAGACTGTTTCAAGTCCAACAATTTTTATCACTGGCTTCAGTAATCTGAGAGATTTTGAAGTATACTAAATTGTTTTTTAAAAAAAGTTTCAATGGGTAATACTACATTCAGGTTTTGAAAATAAATCTTGGAATACAATAAAAAATGAAAATGGTTTTATGAATTTCCTCTATGCATATAAGTGTTCATATAAAAAGTGCTAGTAAAATGTTTTTTTTTTTTTCAATTTTAGAACATTGAACTTCACAATTACCCATTAATACTTGTTACGTTAATATCAGAAGTCAATGCTCAGAAATAAATAAAAAAAAAAAAGATTACCATTATTGTGTTAGATTACAATATAGTCTTTTACTTAATGTTTCGTGTCAGTAAATAATATGGTATCTGTCTCTTGATCATTAAAATTCTTAGAACAATAAAATATTCATTTTTCAGGTTAGGGTACAAAGCTTTCCAGCCTCTGCTAACATTGATTTATTGACCTGTGTATCTGCAGCTTTAATAATTATATCTCCAAACTAAAAAATATGCTGAAACCTAATCTGAAGTATTCTAGAGGTCTTGAGGTGAAATGATTCATTTATTTAGGACTGGAATAGCGTAGGTGATTTTCTACCGATTCTAGTGGATTGTAGATGAAACTCTTATAGTGTGTGTTGACAAATAAGCAGGAAATAGCTGCTGCTGTTCAGTTCACTGGTTTTGTTTGTGGAGGGTTCCAGTTTTATTATTGCCTGAAAAAAACTTTCTCCTTGCTGTTTCCCTTCCTCATTGTTTCCTATTATGTGCAAGAATTTATTAATTCATCATACTATCGTAATTTCCTTATTTGTTATATTCTGATTTTTGTTTTGGATGGGTTTGGTTGATTGAGATTTTCTTAGTAATTGTATGTATAGCTGATATACAAATATGGCAAATCATGAAGATACCCATCACTTCTTATTACATCTAAATGCAGTTGCATCAGTGCTGAATCTCTGCCCCTCAGTTAAGATGATCCACTGGCATGCAAAGAATTCTCAATGTGTGCTGATTATATAACTTGGCAGGCAAACTCCCTTTCCACATTTCCATAAGGAAATAAATTTTTAATTCCTTTTACAGTCCAGTTTCTGGAAGATACATATAGGGATAAGATTTGAAGCATTTATATTTTGCATCTAGCCATCTTCTTTACTCAATTATACTGATGAGAAATAGCTAAAATGTGAATGGAACCGTTTGCCAAACAGCATGTACTTGTAGTCCTGGTTGGCTTTGGATAAGGCTTGTGTTGCTTACTCCTGAGTGCTCCAGCTGGTCTCATGGCTTTCAAAACAGAAAAGTATTATGATTTTTGCATCCTCTAGAAGTGGTGGTGTCAAGTGTTAAAATTGGTTAATAACTGTGTGTTGTCAGCTAGATCCTCAGTTCTTGTAAATAGAAATAATGCCACTGAAGTCCAAAGTGAAAATCACCAAAAAGTCTAAAGCAATTCTTTCAAAATTTATGAAATGAATGTGAGGTAAAATAGCTATTTTTTCCTCTAAAATGTTCCGTTCTTGAGAGGTTTGTTAGACTGATGGGGCACTTCTATGTTTTCTCAAAATCTTTAAGGGAAAAGGTATACAACTCTTTGGAAAGCCTCCTTATTTGTGCATTTTCTAATATTGTGAAGGAGTAAGTTAATGTTCATTTTCATTGGGTCACCTTTTTATTCCTCAGTTAAAGCCTGACTTAATGGTTCTGAGGATTTACTTATTTTTGTGTTCGTGTGAGGGTAAAGGCTGAAGTTTTAAGATCCACTACAAGGAACTGCAGGTAACCTGTAGGCATTTAGTCGATCTCAGCACCTGCGTGTGTCATGGGTATCTGAACTTCAGGACTTCAGTGCCTCTGTTTGTCCCTTATTTCTTGTGATTTAGGTATTTAATTGCACTGTAAGGTATTTGACGTGTGTTCTGCTATTACTGAATTTGAAGGCTTTATTTTTTTAAATGATAATGGTTGTTTACATACATTAATCTGTGGTCTTTGTAGCATACAGTGATACAGCTGGAACAGATTTATTAATCAACAGTTTTATAAATAAGCTAGTGTGCTTCAGCTGAACAGATTGAAGAAAAATAGAGACAAATGTTTCTTCGAGACATTTTGTCATGAAATTGTAATTAGAAATAAGGTTATTTTGATGTTTGGATTAAAAATAAATGTTGAGTTAAATTAAATAGTTGAATATTTATTTTACTCTTGTCAGCATTTTCTTTGATCTATTTTATGCTTGGAATGGCAAACTTTAATTAAATTTGCAGTTGTTTCAGCACAATTAAAAATGTCCTCTGTGCAAAACGGGACATAAATCTGCATGAAAATAAGCCATCTTTGAATACAAAAGTAATAATTGAATGAATCATTTAAACCATGCTTAATGGAAGGAACATAACCATTTTATTTGGTATAGCATCTGTTTTAGTGTAAGTCTGTAAACTTCATGTGGAAGAAATTTCTTTTATTGAAGAATTCAAAGTGTTGTAAATTGATTTTTAGACATCAAGGTCCCTCCATCTTTATCATAGCAAGTCACAGAATGTAAGCCAGTGTTACTGGTATAAACACTGGGGCTGTCTGGTATTTTCATTTTTTAGCAGGAGGCTGTGGCAATTTTAGAGATACTTTGTGTGTTCTTTGCTGTAGTACTCCTTGCTTCTGAAATGATTTCATCAGTTCTCGAAGTTTTTTGACTTTGCCAAAACTTGCATGAATTGACTGTGTATAGTTCAGGCTTTTCTTTCAGTCACTCATTGCAATTCGATTGGCATCACTGAAAAAGTTTCATTTTCCAAGGCACCAGATCAGTAAGTAGGAACTAATCTGAGAAATGAACACACACATTCTTGCAGAATGTCCTGCCAACCTGATTCTTCTAGGACAGTGTGAACACAGCAGCAGGGAAGCCATCGTACATATTGTATGTAGAGTGGGGATAGTTTTGCAGTGGTATACCTTTTTGATTTTGATTTTTCTTTGAAGATTAGCAAGGTATGAGCAGAGAATGTGATCCTCTGAGTCACATCCAAGCATCTAAGCCAGCTGAGATTCCCAAAGGAAAGGTTATTACGCTAATTGCTTTTAATAAGGGATGTGTTAAAATGACATACAAAATTTTTCTTACTCTGGTGGTGGTAGTATTCATGACTACCAAAAAGTAATACATAGGTTTGATTAGAAAATGGGAATCAGACACTCTGCCCATGCGTTAATGGTAACGGATGAGGCAGTAAATTTGCAATTTGTAGTGCAGTGAGGTCCCAAGAAATTTTTACCAGTGGGGACTTCGTGTGTCCCTCAGCAGAGTTATGGGTTGTGAGTTGTCCCTAGAGTCTGTGTGAAAGTATGCTTTATACCAGATGTTAGTGGTTTTTGAGCTCAGACATCATAGGCATATTCTTCCTGTGCTTTTGCTAGAATATAATATGCCACAGAGAGCACGTGATGAAGGAAATAGGATCAGTTCCTCTTTTTCTCTGTAACTCCCCTTTTTTCCTCACTTGTTTTAATAATCTCTTCCTTGAGATGGTTTTGTTTTCCTACCAACTGCCTTCTTCCTGCTTTCAAATCCCTATTGAATAACAATTTTAATGAATTTTTACTACTTTATTCTCTTTGTTACTAATGCTCATTTTCCTCTTTGAATGTATGTTGAATTACATGTAGTTTGTTTTTAGCCTTTGGTTGAGGAAGGTGCTTAAAAAACAAATTAAAGTTCATTTATAGTCTAGAAGCATGAGCATTTGTACATTCCCTAAAATAGAAAATGTTTACCTGAATTAAGGCTTCAAATTATAAACTCTTGTAGCTAAAGAATTTTAATAACACAGTGTATTTATCATATAGCACTGTGAAAATAATAGTTCTTATGGTAAGATCAAGATGAAGAGTAATCCAGTCCTCTTCACAAAGGTAGGAGAAAAGGAGAGCTGTGGAGCTAAACTTGTGTGGAATTCATCATTCATTCAGTAGGAATAAAAAATACTTCAGAAGTGTTTCTAAATATTTGTAGTTTAGAGTAACAAAGGAAAGCCAATAGTCCGACACAGTGTCTGAAGTAAAGAAACCCCAAGAGAAAGAAGTTACTTATCTGCTGCACATTGATGCCTGTCATCGCTTTGCTGCTATAATCTCTATTTTTAGAGGCTAATGATAGGGAGTACTAACCGCGAGTGGAGAGCAAATGGCAAGAAGTGACACGTTCATCAAGCTTTTAGAGATTGCCTCTGATAGTGGGTTACTCGAGTGCACTGAAAAATCTTCAGGAGTTTATTTGTAGATTAGAAGAATCCATGAAGGGAAAAATTCAATGAAGTCTTAAATTATGATTATCTGCTCTACATTAAGAGATTATCTTCCTGCCAATTAGGTGGAAACTAAACGTTCGGTTGTTGGTAATCTTTTTGGTCAGTGAAATTAATTATTGGATTTTTTTTCCATGAAAATGAAAGGATAAAGAAAATGCCTTGTGTTATTTCATATTTTTAATCTAGACACTACTGTTAAAATATCAGAATATGTGGAAGTGTTTTCAACAAGTACTTATGAAAATTTTACTTTGAAAGCATTATCTGGAGCACTAACTAGAGGTTGCTAGCATACGCAAAAAGATTAAATGAAAACTATCTTCCAATACTAGAAACAAAGTTTTTTTTCAAAAAGGTGTCTCCATACAAAGCAATTT